GGGTTGGAAGCCAGCGGTGTGCTCCTCTGCGGGGCGGCCCTTGTGCTCCATCCTGCCGCGGAGGCTGCCGGCAGCCTGCCTCCTCATCCTCCACCACTTTCTCGCCTCACACGTCAGTGGCTCTGCAGAACTTGAGTCAGTGGTGGGCTCCCAAGTCCTAATTCACCCTTCTGGGTAGAGCCACATAAAGATGTTTAAACCAGAGACCAGTGTTTTCTAAGAGTGTATCACCAACCTCCGTATTAAAAGTCGGTTCTGTTGTTTTGACTTGATTTAAAAAATTAAAGAATAATTGCTTTATGGAGTATCTGTTCTGTGCCAGACATTCTCCATGTGTTACCATTTGGTTCTCATCAATACCTTTGGGGTACCAAAGAATTAGGGAACTCTTCAAGATTACACAGCCAGTGTCTTCAAACTGGTAGAAAGAGGAATCGAACCCAGGTGTGTCTACCCCAGCACGCTACCTGCTTCCACCATCCTGCCTCCTGTAACGGAAGGCGGAACATGTATGCAAAAGTAAATATAACAAGCACTTTTGTTCATGTGTTGTTTATATATAAAAATGACACTAGCTGGTTGGTTTTATAAAATTTCAAGGCAATTAGCCAAGCATTTGTTTTTGATTACAGAGGACCATTAATGGAAGCAAATGACTAAAGCTGTCTGTGTCTGAGGCATGTGGAGCCTCAGAAGCTAAGATAGAAATGGAAAGTTTCTTCCCACAATCTTAGAAGCTTGATTCTTGGCTCTTTCTTTTACCTGTAATTATATAAAAGAGCGAAGAATAAATGGCAGGCCACCCTTGTGCTGCCAAGGGATTCCATTTCTATTTATAAAGTCTGAGTGATCGTTGGGCTTGGGTGTATTTTCAGATTAAGCAAACTCCAGCGAGATCATGTACTGGATTTAATATTCCAAATGGAAGAGTTTCTTGGGCTCCTCAACCTGTCTCAACCATTCTTTATCTCATAATTGGGCTTTTGTGTCAGCTTTCCATTGGAAAAAAAAAGAAGGTCTTACAGGAGTGAAAACTGCTTTTTTCTGACACGTAGATGCCGTTTGTACTGAGGTTTACGCAGGACTTAGGGAAGCCAGGTGCTCTTCGCTTGCTGCCAGTGTGCTAAGCAGAAGTGCCCGCCTGGAAGCCTGTGCGTGTGCCCACACGCCCCCAGCACGTGCCCCGCTGCCCTGCACGCCCGTGCGGGCAGTGCCGCGGGCGCCAGTCTCAGCCTCGCCCGTTTCCTCACAGTCGCGCTCCGACCAGCACAGCCACGTGTTTGGAGAAGCAGACCTCCTTCAGCCCTGCACTCCCTCCCGCTGTCAGCACCTCACCACCCACAGGCTGGACCGTGTCCTCTGACTGTCTCCTCTCCAGCTCTTCTTCCCTCCCAGAATACACTTAATCCGTTTAGGTAGGAATGACTGCTGGGGTTTAAGGCCCCCAAGGGCTTTTGCATCTCATAAAAAGTGATCACTTAATCCAAACTAAACTCATACATAGAGTAAATGGAGAAGAGATGTTAACCAGCTGGCGGTACATTCCTGGTGTCCTTTGTCCATTCTGGGCTGTCAGCACCCCAGTTGGAAGCCAAGGGCAGGGACAAACTCCAGCCAGAGCCCCTCTCTCAAAAGACTGCCACATGCTGGCCTCAGGACAGTTCTAGACTCTTCCTTCCAGGTGGGTTTGTATCTGTAACACATTGAAAAGGTGACTTGTTCAATAGTAGGGACAGGAGGCGAGGACCAGGATCCTCAGAACAACTATTCTTATTTCTCTGTAAGATTTTCATGTACACTGCCTCATCGCCTGGTAATTATAAACCTTTCCTATTCCAACTCCAAGCTTGTAAACCTCTTGGAAGCAAAGTATCTAACTTCTGCCTTCTCCAGAGAGTGCCAATGTTAGGCCCTTACTGGGTAGAGGATTGTTTAAGGTTACATGACTTGTGAATGGCAGGATCAGAAATAGAACTCGGGTTTCCTTGTGCCATATACAACGCTAGTGATCCTTCATCCCACTGCCTGTCAGTTATCTGTTGCTGCGTAACAAACCACCCCAAACCCCACCCCTCAAAGTAGCGTTGCTACTGCTCACGGGTTTTCAGGCCAGGCGTGTGGACAGGGCTGGGTGGGGCTGCTCTTCTGCTCCGCCTGCTGCTGGCTGGGATTCCCACTTGGCCAGCTTCAGGTAAGCTGGGATGAAAGGTCCAGGAAGACACCACTCTCGTGTCTAGAGCCTCCTGTGTCTCCTGCACCCCTCTCTCTCCATCTGTCTCTCCTCTTGTTCATTACCGTAGCCTGATCGTTACAACTAACTACGGTAGCTGCCTTCCTCTCATGAAAGCAGAAGGGAGCAGAAGTTGGCAGGCCTCTTAGACAGTGTGACTTCTCCTGTGTTCTCTGGATCAAGGCAAGTGATGGGACAGCCAGGATTTGCAGGGAAGGGAAGGAGACCCCACCTCCTGATGAGCAGAACAGCATGTCCATCGAGGAAGGAATGGATGGTGGCCGTCTTTGGAGACGAATCATGACCTAGGTTCACCAACAGATGCAGTGTTCTTTCTCTTTTTCCTGTGGGGTCCTGAGCGAACAGGGAAGCTCAGGTTTGTGCAGACCCAAAGGAGAGGAAGGAGAAGAAAAACGCCCTGCAGCACCGACCCGGGGCCACAGTGATCATCCCCTGGCTGAGCTCCTGGTCGCGTCGTCTTTCCTTGAGTATCAGAAGAGAGGCCTTTGTGCTTGGTGGGATGTGTGAAGTACAGGCTTCAAGCTTGGGCAGTTACAGTGCCATTTCACAATGATTTGGTTTTAGAGCGGCCGCTGTGTGTGCGTTCTGCATCAGGCATTCGAGTGCATGTTTCTAAAGGCTCACCTTCCAGGCAGCCATTAAAAACAGCGCTTTTAGGTGCTGTGTCTGTGCATTGCTGACACATTGTGGTGCACCTCCAAGTCACCTTTCCAGCCATTAGTTTCCATCTTTGTGTCGGATTGTATTCAGTCTCTTAAGAAAAAACATGTCTTGGGAATTTTCTCTTGCTTCTCTTTGACAACAGAGGGTTCTCATGTGGAGAGATAAGTGACCCTGGAAAATCAATCTGCCAGCCTTGTCCAGCTCTGGCAACATCCTTTCTCTGTATTCTAACTAACTTGTTTTAAAATATCTTACATTATGAGGATTATTCTCTTCTTTGAGAAAAACTCCCTTAATCTTCTAAATTTCCTTGGGAAATTTTTCACATGCATTACTTTTTTTCTTAAAAAAGCAAAAGCTCCAGGCTTTATCCGTTTGTTACAGTTAGATTGTCTTTCTGCCATTTAGATAATTATCCCACCCAGAGTATTTTTCCCTAGAAACAATCAAATAAATAAAATCCTCTAGTATTCAAGAGAGAAGATGTAAGAGCAGCTAACTGTGGGCTGTGGGGCCAAAACTTTCCCAAGTGCTTTGGGAAAATCTCATGTTTTAAGAGATTATCATGGTCTAGAAAATGAAGAGATTTGTTTTAAACAGATGGAAATTTCTGGTTTCTCAAATGTGTATGAGAAAATGTGATGGTTTTGTACCAGCTGTCTAGGGAGTTGGGTCCACCAAAGTCCCATTGACTCTCAATTTTGTGGCCCAAAAGTTATTGAAGGTATTTTATGTACTTTTTTAATACAAGTTTGTATGGGTAAACATTTACACATGGCACAAAGCAAGCATTCAATTAAAAGTCCAGAATTGTTCTGAATCTCATTTTACTCCTCCTGTTTCACTGGTGGTGGCAGTAGTGGGTTTGCTGTTGTTCATTTGTTGCTTTCTTTTGTTTTGTCTAGGACTAAAAAGACATGGATGGTGGCTCTTTAAAACAGTCCAGACCTTTTGGAGGATGTTTTAGAGCGACCGCTGTGTGTGCGTTCTGCATCAGGCATTCGAGTGCATGTTTCTAAAGGCTCACCTTCCAGGCAGCCATTAAAAACAGCGCTTTTAGGTGCTGTGTCTGTGCATTGCTGACACATTGTGGTGCACCTCCAAGTCACCTTTCCAGCCATTAGTTTCCATCTTTGTGTCGGATTGTATTCAGTCTCTTAAGAAAAAACATGTCTTGGGAATTTTCTCTTGCTTCTCTTTGACAACAGAGGGTTCTCATGTGGAGAGATAAGTGACCCTGGAAAATCAATCTGCCAGCCTTGTCCAGCTCTGGCAACATCCTTTCTCTGTATTCTAACTAACTTGTTTTAAAATATCTTACATTATGAGGATTATTCTCTTCTTTGAGAAAAACTCCCTTAATCTTCTAAATTTCCTTGGGAAATTTTTCACATGCATTACTTTTTTTCTTAAAAAAGCAAAAGCTCCAGGCTTTATCCGTTTGTTACAGTTAGATTGTCTTTCTGCCATTTAGATAATTATCCCACCCAGAGTATTTTTCCCTAGAAACAATCAAATAAATAAAATCCTCTAGTATTCAAGAGAGAAGATGTAAGAGCAGCTAACTGTGGGCTGTGGGGCCAAAACTTTCCCAAGTGCTTTGGGAAAATCTCATGTTTTAAGAGATTATCATGGTCTAGAAAATGAAGAGATTTGTTTTAAACAGATGGAAATTTCTGGTTTCTCAAATGTGTATGAGAAAATGTGATGGTTTTGTACCAGCTGTCTAGGGAGTTGGGTCCACCAAAGTCCCATTGACTCTCAATTTTGTGGCCCAAAAGTTATTGAAGGTATTTTATGTACTTTTCTAATACAAGTTTGTATGGGTAAACATTTACACATGGCACAAAGCAAGCATTCAATTAAAAGTCCAGAATTGTTCTGAATCTCATTTTACTCCTCCTGTTTCACTGGTGGTGGCAGTAGTGGGTTTGCTGTTGTTCATTTGTTGCTTTCTTTTGTTTTGTCTAGGACTAAAAAGACATGGATGGTGGCTCTTTAAAACAGTCCAGACCTTTTGGAGGACTTTGGGGATTTTCTTTGATTTTTTTTTTTCATTTTCGTATCTTTGCCCCCTTCATTTTAGGAAGAAGAATTAGAAGCCCAAATTTCCTTCCTTCAAGGACAGTTGAATGACCTGGATGCCATGTGCAAATATTGTGCGAAGGTGATGGACACTCATCTTGGTGAGTGAAGGGCTCCGGCCCTGGGGATGGTGGCAGCCCCCGCCTCGGGTGCATGTGTCGAGTGCTTCCCGTGAGTTACCTCCTGTCACCCTCACAGACGAGGAAACCAGAGCACAGAGATTAATCAAATTTCCCCAAATTATAACACCAGCCAGTGGAGGAGAAATTCAGAATCAAGCAGTCTGACTCTAGATTTCAGCTCTTAATGGTTGCACTGCCCTTTCTAGTATCTCTCTACCCTGAAAAAAAGAAAATGCTGAGCTTTCAAGATGAAACAGTCCACTCTGCTGTTGTGCTAATCTGTCCGTAATCAGGCATGTGGTTGTTTGGCAATGCTTTATTTCTTTTAAATATATCTTTTTAATCAGCTGTCTGAAATACGTGTCCCTGACCTTTTCTTCCTCTGACTGTGCCAATATCCTAAGAAGTGTCCTCATCTGACGTTCAGGTTACATGTGAGCGGCCTGTGTCACACCCAAGCCCTGGGCCTTACTTGCTACATTCATGAAAGCTCTGTGTTTTGAGTTAGAAACAGTCTCTACTGGATCACCTCTGATTTGCTTCAGGAACCCCCTGCTGCTTACAGAACTTTTAGACTCCACATTGTGACCGTTCTCAGCCCACTTGCGGACATCCTCTCCTTCTGTTCTCCAGGGTCCAGCACCGTAGTTTGGGAGGAGATGAGGAAAATCAGAGACGTACCCTCATGGGCATGGCCAGTGTGCCCTCTGTGAGCATGGGGCATGGTGAGGAGTCAGAGTACACCCCCCCCCGTGAGGGAGCACCAGAGAGCCACCAGGTGCTCTTCCCTCTAGCGGTCCCGAGCATGGCCATCCAGGGCCTTCATTGGAGACAGACTGTACATCAGACCCCACCCATTGCCCAGCCTGTCAGGAGATGAGTCCATTACACGCGGCCAAAATGGCTTTGTTAGGATGCAGCCCAAACACACTGGTCTCGAGCCAGTGACAAGTGATCTCTTAGGGACATGGAGACGTGCGTGGCCTGCGAGGCCAGCCACCTCGCCGCGTCTCCCCGGGCCGCATCTCGGCCCTGCTCTGCCCTCGGCTTCCCTCCATCCTCCAGGGAGAGGCCTGTGGAGGAGGAGACAGCGGGAGAAACCCTGCAGGTGGGTCCCTTCACATTCAGTCCCTGCCACTCCAAAACTGTTCGTACACTTCTTCACGGTCAACTTTCTAAATTCATATAGAATTGATTTTATACCCATCTTATAGCATCACAGTTTAAAGTGCATCAGAAAGAAGTAATGAAGAGGTAGTGTATAAATAACTGGTATCTATTCCATAATTAATTTTATTATTTAAATACAACCTTAATTTTAAAGTAACCATGAGTGTGTGTGTGTGTGTGCACACACACTGTGTGAAATTTTTTCTTCTCTGGCTGTGTGGGTGACCTTTGTGTTACTCAGTTTTGGGTTTTGACCAAAGTAGGAGAACAAAGAAGTGACTGCAGATATTTACTCTAGGAGCTCTAGAAAAATCTGGTTGTGGGATGTTTCCAAGTTGTTCGGTCCACATAGCAGCTTTTAAAGCAGCTTTACTTAAGCCTCGGGATTTCCAAACAGCTTTTACTCTTTTAGTCAGCACTAAAAGAACATTTTTCTCATTGCATGGGATGGGGAAACACTTTAATTAAAGAAAAGCTCTTATCAGCTGTGAATTTTCAGCTAACCACAAAAGCAGATTTGTTTTGTGTATATGTTTCACTTTCAGCCAGAACCCCTTCACACAGCTGTTAACTCCTCTTTGCTGTAGAAATGGCCTGACTGCATGTTCATGGTGGGGTTGAGGATCCCTGGCCCTGGGGCCTGTGGGTCCATTTTATTTCATCCAAGTATGTTACACTTTATCACAGGGTGTTCCTGGGTTGTAGGCAGTTTGGATTTTAAGCAAAAACTTGAGGAAAGCATTAAGGTTGAGGTGTGAAGCTCTTGATTTAGTTTTTTTCCTATTATATCCTTTAAAAATGACTTTAATGCTCTCATATTTTTCTCCATATAAACTTTTCTGTTTTTCCTGATTAGTAAAGTAGTACTACAGTTAAAACTGAAAAATCCACTAGTAAGTGATTGATTGTAGTGTAGTAATGCAATCTTTATAAAGGTTAAAATACATAAAGAGATGTTCATAATGTATTCTGAAGTGAAAATAGCAGGTGGCACAGTAGAATATATTTGATGTGGAAATAACCATTGACTGTGGTGGCCTAAGTGAGGGAGAGCACAGAGGGACTTTCCAAGGGGCTAGTCTTCCTCTCTGCTTGGAAAACCTGCAGATGCCTCAAGTGCATCTAACCGGCACCTTGGGGCTGATCTGTATGCTGCAGGCAAGAGTCCCCCCTGAGAGCAGCTTCCAGGATTCCCCTGCAGATCCGGTGGTAAAGACTCCACGCTTCCAGGCATGGGTTCAGTCCCTGGGCAGGGAACTGAGATCCTGCATGCCATGGGCAGAGCCAAAAAAAAAAAAAAGCAGCTGCAGTGATACCTAAGCAGGAGAGATAGGCTTGCAGACATCATACAGACACAGGGTTGAAACCAGACTCCGGCACTTCTGGGATCAGCCTGCTTGTGATCTTACATAAAATGGATATGCCAAGATCTATCTCACCAGTTCTTGCCAAGACTAAGATATTTTTAAAGCCCAGCACAGGGCCTTCCCTGGTAGCCAGTGGTTAAGAATCTGCCTTCCAATGCAGGGGATGCAGGTTCGATCCCAGGTCAGGGACTTAAGATCCCACATGCCACGGAGCAGCTAAGCCTGCACACTGTGGAACCCACGTGTCAGCATGGACGATCCTGCATGTTGCAACTAGAACTCGATGCAGCCAAGCCTAAATAAATAAATAAAGCCAGCACTGGTTGAGTGTGCAACACAAATCCTCTCCTCCTTCCTCTTAGCTTTTTTTTTTTTTAAGTCTTTATTGAATTTGTTACACTATTGCCTCCATTTTATGTTTTGGTTTTTTGGCCCCAAGGCATGTGCGATCTTAGCCCCCCAACCAAGGATCAGACTTATACCCCCTGCCCTGGAAGGTAAAGCCTTAGCTGTTGGACCAGCAGGGAAGTCCCCCTTTCCCTTAACTCCTAGCTGTCCCTTCTAGTGGCCGATCCTGGCAGACCCCGCCAGCCCACCACCAGAGGAGCTGAGCAGTGACTGGGTGGGCCCCACGGCTGGACAGGGAGAGCTAGGAGCAGCCCTGTTGAATGTCCCTTGGTCAGACCACATGCAGAGATGTTGGGGTTGGATCTGCAGGTCCTCACGTTGGGTGCGTGAGCTCTCTGAGCAAGAACAGCTTGCCCAGAACTTCGTGGAGCCTTTGCTCGCCTCAGCAAAAGCCCTGCTGATCCTGGCCGCCCGCTCCCAAGGGCCCCAGACAGCCTCAGATTCTCATCCTGCTCCTACCCTTTTCTGAAGTTAAGTATTTTCACTGAGCTCCTTTCAAGGAAATTCTGTATCAGTCTATGTTATCTCAATTGTACATTGTTATCTTAAAATGTCAAGTACAGTTCAAGACTACCTTTTATAACAAAACAGATATAGAGAAAAGCATCTGAATTAAAAATTACAGAAAGGCATTTGTTTAAATGGCCCTTTAATTACGGAGGCAATAAAACTGACTCGTTAGCAATTTTATTTCCTTATGGTTCTGGAACCCAAAACTGAAAGCATTATTTGTTTTATCAAAATTCTCATTTTATTGCCTCCACATAATTGAGCTCTGTGAATTCAAAGATTTAGAGACAGGAATTGAAAATGTGTCTCTTATTAAATCTAAACTTTTCCTATCAACTTGAGAAGACTTTCTTCATGTGTTCATTTTTCTGTTGCTATAGTCACACCCCTCCCTGTCATCCCGACAGTTGACGGCATGAACCTCAGTGGCTGAGTTGGGCTATTTTTAGACTTGCCACTGCTCACACGTAATTGCACGTGGGTGAGCTGCCTGCACTTCTCTGATCGTGAGCACCTGGGCCTGCTCCCAGGGGAGGGGTTTCCAGCCTCTGTTTGGTATTTACACTCGTTTGCGGAGGCTTGTCCTTTCATTGGTGGTTCACACAAACAACAGGAGGGTGAAATGCAATGAATTAAGGGAGTTAGAGTTCTGCAGCCCAGCGGATCTTAGCCTGTCGTGGAGGTGGACACGTTCCAGGCCATCACGGCTGTTGCTCATTTCACAGACGAGGAAACCAAGAACTGAGGCCTGGGTGGGACGAGGGACGCAGAGCTCGCTGGCGCAGGTGCCCAGGGCCCATCCCAGGCCTCGGCTGCTCTTCCCTCGATCCTGTGGAGGCCCCGCTCCAGTCAGGAGCCAGACTTCGGGTCTGAGTTCACACATCCGCGCCAATTTTGCACTTACCATAATATTTATGCAAGAATTAGCAGTAAGAGGAGGTCACTTTTGAAGATAAGTTTATTTGCCTCTGCAAGAGCTTTATGAATCTGATTTGCTAATATTTAGCAAAGCAGTACTCAATAGATGTTTTTGAAAGTGTTCAACAGGCAATTAACTAGTGACATCTGAGAAACGAAGCAGGAAACTGATCAACAGACAGCTTTCCTCTGTCAACCAACACTGCTGAAAGCTCTCTGTGATTATTAAGAATGTGAGACTTTGCATTTAATTGCAGGATGAGTACTTCTCCTGAGGGTCTTGTTAGCAGATTTTGACTTGAAGGTCTGAAGATCTGCATTTCCAGCAGCCCCCAGGGCACCTGGTGATACTGACCCGTGACAAACACCAAGCAGCAAGCAGCGAGAGACCTTAAGATCACTGGGGCAGAATGCAGTTTTGAACTCCTAGCACTGTGAGCGTGTCCCTGCCCCACCCTGCAGGCACCCTGTGGGCAGAGTGCTTCCCCCCCAACCCCCCAGCCTAACCTGAGGCAGCCTGCACACATCTGATACTAATGCTGTGCTCGGCCTCTTCCAGCCTTGCTCTCTCCTTGTGGAAGGCATTTCTCCCCAGATTTGATTATC